GGGTAAGCCCAGAAGCTGGGGGCTGTCCCTGCCCAGCACAGCCCAAGTCACTGAGAGGCCCCTTGGGCAGGATGGAGAGGGCGCAGTCCTGACAGAGGCACCTTCCAGCTTCCTGGTTAGAGGCAGGGGTGAGGGGTGGAAAGAAGGGGAGTGTCTTCCCCTCCACCCTCAGCCACCAGCATCATTTTAAATCTGCTTCAACCTGGCCAAGCCTCAGCCACAGAACACAGAGACTCTTAAATACAAGATGCTGACAAACCCTTCCCTATTTTTAGAATGGCATTTAACAAGTGAATTAGGACCAATGCGATGTGAGTTACTCGGAGGCTCTTCCTGCAGGTGGTGGGTGTGAGTGTGTGTGTGTGTATGTGTGTGTGGGGGGTGCAGTAAAGGGAGTTGAACACTTCTTGGAACACTTGAGAATCCAAAAGAAAGAAGGTTCTGGCACCTCTATCCACTGCCTAGATGAGGGCTGGCCCCCAGCCCCAGCTCCACGCCTGCAGCAGCCCTTATCCCCCGCTCCCCTCACACAGCCATGCCTGTCATAGCCTGTTTGGGTTCCCCATGTACTATTTCCTGACACAGATTTAAAGGCATCACCTTTAAAATTTAAAATCGCCTAACAGACAACTAAGGTCAATAATTAGACCAGAATGAGAAGGGCGCCGAGTGGAAAAAAGGCAATGAAGGGCTAACACCTGATATAAAATGCCAAGGGGTGCTGCACCAGCTGATGAGGCGCCCTCTGCTTGGACCACAGGCTCCATATCCCTCCTGGCCCTGAATTTATCCCTTCGCTTTGTTTCAGAACCGCCCCTTTACTTGTTTTCTGACTGGCCCCTTAGGGGCCCTGTCTCCAATAGCACCATTTTTCCCCTCAAGTCTGGTCAAATGCCTGACACATAATAAGCACTCAGTCATTTGCTGGGTATCTTTCTTTTTTCTTTTCTTTTCTTTTTTTTTTTTTTTTTAAGATTTTATTGGGGAATTGGGGGAAGGGGAACAGCGCTGGGGAATCGGGGAAGGGGAACAGACAGGTAGACACATTGCTGTTTTTATTCTTCAGTCTAGCTGTGGAGGATGTTGCCTCACTGGCCCATGTTGGTATTATCATTGCACTCTTCCCGGGTGAGGCAGATTGGTTGCCAGTCATTGGTCAGCCACTCACAGCGGCTCCTGGCCACTCACGCTGGCTGCCAGCCACTCACGTAGCTCAAGGCAGCCCACTGCAGCCCCGCTGCAGCCTACGCCGTCGCCAGCGACTCACGACAGCCCAGCTCCAGGTGGAGCTGTTGTTCATCATCTTGGCTGTAGAGGGCAGTGTCACTGGCCCTCATGTGGGATCTGAACCGCAGCCCTGCTGCTCAGAGCTGGCATTCCCAAGCGAGCTCTTAACCAGCTGAGCCACTTGGCTGGCCCCTGTTGGGTCTCTTTCAATTGGAATAATTTAAAAATGATTTGTTACCTGATCTCCTTTAATCAGGAAGCCATGTAAGATTACACAACTTTTGCCAAGTTTTTCCCCCCTCTGCAACCGCATCAACATGGTGACCCCCTTGCTGTCATCTGACCCAGCCATGCTCTGGTCAGCCTGAGATAAGTTGTTCAGACACAAGACCAGGGGCCTCCAAAGCAAAGCCGCTGCCTCGGAGCCTCCCTGCCACCGCGGGCCTGTCCTGACCATGCACTGTGTGTGCGCGCGGTGGGCTGCCGAGCCTTGAAGATGCATCTGTTCAGACTGAGATGGGCTGTGATCAGACCACACACCCTGGACTGCAGAGACTTAGCATGTAAACAAGAATGTAAAACATATCACTGACAATTTTTACAGTGAAACTATATTAACATTATATTTGGGATATATTGGTATAATCAACAAAGCATGATCAATTTCCTTTTTTAAAAAAAATATGGCTATTAGAAAATTTTTAAATGATCCAGGTGCTGACTGGACATCCCTCCCAAGCTAACTTTATTCATGGCAGTGGACGGCCTGTTACTCTGTTCTATTCTTATAACCAAGCAAGATATTCAACACCCTGAAACATCCTCGCTCAGGGATGTCCTCTTTGGGTCCACCTGCTCACTGAACACTCACTCTGCCCCGTCACCTCAATAAGCCCTGCCCTTCTGGTCTCGGGAGCTGTACAGAGTGGCCGATTTACTGCTGGTCACGCCAGGACGCGAGCAACAGCCGGCACCAAGAGTCAGAAGCACTCCAAGCGGCTTCGTGTCTTCCTTTTGTTCTACGCTGACACTTCGTTAATGTGAAACACAGGGGAATGGAGGAAATCGGCCTCAGTGTTTACAGTTTGGATTTCCAATGCATTTTATTAAGAAACAATGGGCACCTTGCCAGCTTTGGGGGTGGAGGGTAAGGGGAGGAGAGAGAGAGAAGCTAACAGCTGTTTTGAGTTAAAAACTTTCTGTCTAAACTGGTAGCATCCATCCCACTGTGGTTCTGCTGCCTTTGGAGTCTGCAAATGGAGTTGGTCTATTTTAGCTCTGAGTTAACAAGCAGTTTCTGCCACTAGCGACTGTCACAGTTCACTGCCTGGCTGGGCCCTGCCGCTCCTGCCTGCCCGCCCCAATGGCCTCCTCTGATAGCAGGCTATTATGTGGAACGGCAGAGCGGAGAGGAGAGAAGGGAAATGAACTATGTTCTGTAATCAACTCCTTTTGGTTTCCAGATGCAAGTCCCACCCCATCTAGCAAAAGCCACCAGACAGGGAATGGCCTGGCTGTTCCCCACAAGGGATGCAAGGCAGCCCCTCCTTGCAGGCCCTGCCAGGTGCCATGGGCACAGCATCCAGGGCTCCAGTGGGAGGGAAGCTGCCAGGAGGGGCTGAATCCCCGCCAGACTATAAAACTTCTCCGGTCAACCCCTCACCAAACAAAGGGTGTTACTACTGAGCAGGCAGGGAAAACACACAGGACCTGAGGTTGAACTTCGTAGCCTATCGGCGACCCCTGTGGCCTAGGAGTCATGGTGAGTGAATCACCCACTGAATCGTGCAGAAAAGAACAACCAGTGCCCGGCGCCATTCCCATCTCCATCCTCTCTGCATAGCAAGCCCAGCCTGTTCCTGGAGTAGGTGCTTGTCCAGAAGGCCCCGCTCCAGAAGAACCTACACCCTTGTCCAGGCCAGCGTTTAAGGGGACACTTGATCTTTATCTATCACTGCCATACACTGCTGTGCTGGCCCCAGCCACTCAGAAGTCTCTCCTGAGAGTCCAGTTATTTTCCCTGTGAGGTAGAATGATCTAGAAAGGGCAAATGGGTAGTTCCTAATATCTGAGCACAGAATAAAACATGAAATGGAATCAAACATAGGGAGGAACTCAGAGACTGGTCGTGTGTCTACCTGGCTGTGCTGGATCAGATGGCTGTTCGGCAGAAATGGGACTTGGGGGTCCCCAGGGCTCTTCCTGCCTCTGGCTACAATTCGCCACGCGAGGGTCATCTGGCAACTTCACCTTTGTTTGCTGAGGTCCTCAGCCTAGCAAACTATTTCAATATTAATCACCCACCACAAGCCCACATCCTGGGGATGGTCTACGTTAATGAAACCATGAAGTTCCTGAATCTCTCAGAAATACAGGGCCTTTCACAGGAGGAGCTAAATTCTTTTTCTTGGTAGACAGAAGAACAACTGTTAAGAGACAGGTTTCAGAATCACAGACTCTGAGGCCCAAGAGGGAACACGGGGATGCTCTGGCCCAGCTCCCACGTGAGCAGAGACCAACTGGGCCCCAGGTCCACGCCCACTCCTGCACACCGTGCAGCGTCCCGAGATGGGTGACTTACGTAAAGACATTTCCTAGCACTTCAACTGCGCAGCAGTTCAAACTCTTCATTAAGTCCTTTTCCCCCCAATGGAAAAATGTCAAGTTAATGTGATTAAGGATAATGATATTTGACATGGCTTTAAGTTACCGTACAATTAGGCTTTCCCCCAACACAAACGTCTTCAGCTTGCTCAGACCTTTTCACTACTAAGTCACGACCAAACATGTATCTTTAAGGAAGGAAAAATACTCCATATTATCGGTGAGTCACACAGATGTCCAGGTTTCTACACTCCCAAGCTGTCACCTGAGACCCGAAGCTGCAGCCATGTATGCGGTCACCTCTGCCCTGGTAAGCCTGGCAGACATGCTGCTTCCCAGTCCTGCCCTGCACCAGGGGTCCCCAATGGCACCTCGTTCACTTCAGTGCTTAAAGGCTATGGCATAACATTTTAAAGTGGCAGTTCTGCAGGAAAAGGTTCCAAGCCTATCTGCTCACTAAGAACACAGGACTTTCTGCTTGATGAAAAAGTTCTCAGAGAAGGTAGGGAAAGAAAGCCGAGTCTTCCACCCCCCATTCCCCCAGATTCTGCTGGAAAGTCATATTACCATCCACATTTTCTGCCTGGGAAGGCTGAGGATAAGAAAAACCAGAGCCAGTGAAGATCTAAAACCGAAGCTGGAGCAGAAGAACAATCACCTATCACTGTGCTCCTGTGACAGGCTTCACTTTGGGTCAGATGTCTTAACACGAGGTAGTACCTGGTCTTACCCCAAAATGCGTTCTTAGTGTTCGGTGCTACCAGTCCAGTCCAAACACCTACAGACACCTGGCATGCCTTTCCTGTCCTTACCACACACTCATGCACACTAACAATCATTTGGGTTGCAACACCTCTGTGAAGACAATGTGTCTGCTGCCAAAGGTCCCTGTGAGAGGAGCTCAGGGTGATGGCTCTAGGGGCCTCGCCGGGAGTGAAGGAAGCAGACGGAACCTCAGTCTGTGTAACCACAGCCACCTTCTGTCTCACACCTTTCGGTCCGACTTCTTCCCTACACCATACACCGTTCTTAACGGCCTTACTCACATCATCACACCCAAGTTAAATCATTTCAGCCCAGTGTGGAGTAACGGAAAAGAAGAATATGCCAGAAGAAACGGGAAACAAAAAGACCTTTCCAGAGTAGATATATTCCACCTTTTCTCCTACCTTAGTGGGTTATCTGAGTGCGTCTCCATGTGGGTCTCCAGTCCATACTTGCAAACAAACTCCTTGAAACATACTGGGCAGTGAAACACTTCATCAGCCTTCTTTTTCAAGTCACCCAACTGCCCATCTTCTACCATCTTTGGGGAAAGGAAAAAAAAAGTGCCGTCATGAAGGTGGCCCCTCACGTGTGTTTGCTTCTGAAGAGAAGCCAGCACTAAATCCAGCGGCTATCTGAAAACAAAAGGATGCTTGCTCCCTCCGTCCCAGGTACGAAATATGCCACTGACCAGTCGCTCATTCATGTGACAAAAATTCACTGAATACTACCATCCACCCATTCACCCATCCATCCATCCATCCATCCATCCATCCATCCATCCATCCATCCATCCATCCATCCGCCCACCCACCCTCAACCCACTCATCCACTCAAATATTTAGAGAGCATCTAGCATCTAACAGGCACTGGGAATAAAAGAGTGAGGACAAAAGGGTCCCTAACACTTATGGAACTCCCACTGTAGCTGGAAAAACAGAAAAAGCACAAGAATAATGAAAAAGCTCATCATCAGTGGGTGCAAGCGAGGGGGCTCCACAGAGGAGGTGAACAGATACTCTTTTCTGCAGACACCTTACAAAACAGTGTGGAAAACACAGTTAAAAGCTTAGGGTGCAGGCCTGCCAAGTCCCCAAAACTGTGCGAGTAAAGCCCAGAGGTATCTGCCCCGAGTCCCGTGGCTAGGCACATCTGTGCTGGAAGCAGAGGACCTTTTTAGCAGGTGCAGGGTCTTCCTTCTCCGACTCGGCGTCATGACTCAGTTTCCTTTTGGAGGACAGCCGCCTGCGCTTCAGTGGGGATGGAGGGGCTGCAGCGGTAGCACTGTTGGGGTCCTTCTCATGAATCTTCATATGTCTGGAGAACACAAACACACACACACACACAAACAATGTGATTCAGCCAGCAACTGAGCTGGTTTATTTCTTTTACATTTTTTCTATTTAAACGTTGGTACATTTTCTTTAGTTAAGAGACATGGAGTATAATTTACACAGTGACTTCTCTCTTTTTAAAACCTTATAACCTGAATCCCTCATAAAGCTCTTGCAAGTGCTCTCTAAAAAAATGTCATTTGATGCCTTGCTGTCTGTTGGGGGCTACTCATGAACTTCACTGGCACTGAGATAAAAACAAGCTCTGATGACCTGTTCTTACTGAGATAAAGTAAATTATTTGAGGACACATAATTCTATAGAATAAAGAATTCCCAGATACTGCTATTTCATAAAGCAAGTAATCACTCTATTTGCCCCAGAACTCAGCCCCCATCTCCTAGTGGTACATGTTCTTTCTGTTGTGCCTTCTGAAGCACGTTGGGGGTCAAATTTGAGAAGTGCCGACAGAGCAAATGTCTGGAGAGCTTATTAAGACCTGAGAGCCTTTCCCTGTTGTTCGTGGTATTACATGGATTAATAGACCATGAGAATAGCTGGAGCAATGAATGAGGAAATTACATGTTGCAACCCTGACACCTACGGGACTAGGAGTACACATATAAGGAAGTATTACCTATACACACTACACGTATATGGATAAAGAGAGGCTTATGGATGACCTGATTTAAGTGACCTAACTTTATCAAGTTCTAAAACAAACATCCGAAAAACAAGGTCCCAAGACCTATAGGGAAAGGAAGAATGACGTTATGCAAAACGATAGTCAGACTCAATTTCCTTGCTTTGTGACAAAAAAAAGTTTAGCTTTCCTAATGACAATCATCATCGCCATCATCTCTGACTGGGGTTAAACTGTGCCAGGTGTAGGAATGGAGCCTCAGCTTTTTGTAAATAGCTCTTTTATACGATTATCGTTAACGGCGAAGGTCTCGGGCACGGAAAACGGGAGCCAAGTTCTCACAGACGATCCTGTCACGCTTTTAAAAGGAAGTTCAGCTCACTTTCTGCTGTGCCTTCTTCGGAGGAGGCAGGATGAGGATGAAAAGGTGAAGCAGTTCGCGCCCCACAAGCAGCAACCATCAGGCTCTCAGGCCACCAATTCAAGGCCTGGGCTAAGACCAGGCCTTTCCCTCACATAACCCTTGGCTTGCGACGCCTGTGAGACCTCTTTTCTGAGTGTGTGGAGGTAAGATGCTGACTTCTCTTGTTCTGCTCCTACAGACATACTCTAGAATGTGGAGGGGTCCCCGCATCAGCCCTGCCCCAAGAGCACCGGCCCAACCCTCAGCCGGCAGCTGAGATGTGGCTTAACCTCTGTTCTCTGAGGGGGATCAGTGTGGGGGGAGCAGAAATACCTACTGGGAGAGAATGGAAAGGCGTCACAGCCATCGTCCTAATTCCTTGCTTAATTACTAGGGAAGGATGCTTTATTATTAGCTCTTGGTCACCTAAAGCCTTGGGAAACTTAATGGAAACAAATAGCCTTGTCCTCAGTATCTGCTTTGTTAGGTGATTTAAGGCGACCATCAGTTAATATCAGCATTTGGAAGGAAAAAAGAAAGACTGCCAAGTTTCTTTTGACATTGATTGTACAGCACATTCCAACTTTAGAAATGTAAAAAGAAAATAAAAAAATCTTTTTTCGAAGCATCTGAGAATTGAAGAAGAATGATACTAAGAGATATAAATTAGTACCAAAACCTACCTTTTTCAATGAATCGCTTAAAATTAATTTAAAAAAAGTTAATACTCTTTTCAACAGTCGACAGGTTACTTGTGCCAATGAACACGAGGCTACAATAACCTGTGAGAAATGTGGAAATTGACACCTGTCAGCAGTTCAGTAGCTCATTTCAAATTGTATCTTTTCTGTCACGATACTAGTATTTATAAAATCCAATTCTTGGGACTTATGACAGAAGTTATTTTCACAGACAGAGGAAGAGGAGGGACCACAGCGAGCACTCAAGGAGGATATGGGGGGAACTCACACAGATTATTTCCATTTTGCAGATAAAGCAGTTGAGGTGTGGAGAGGCTAACACACCCAGGGCCTCACAGGTGTGCCGACTCCAGAATCCATGCTTTTACTCCAACATCTTTGGATCTGCGTTTTGAATCACAGGCTGCCATCTTAGGGCTCGAACCTGAACCCAGACACTTCTTTTCTGAGGGACTGTGGCCCGAAGCCCAGCAGTTGTTACCAAACTATAACCAAATTTCAACAGGGAGTGAAGGGTCGGGCCAACATCAGGCAGAGAACGTTCCCCACCTCTTGTCCTGTCTTATTCTGAAAAATTGGGGATGCCCTTGAACTGCATCACTACCAAAGGCAGGGAGAGGAGACTGGATCAAAACAGTCTCAAGAGCTTGGTGTCAAGTACAGGCTGCCGAACACATCTACCCACTCAGGTCTCCGACTGAGCCCAGTCAGAGCCCCGGGTTCAAAGCTCAAGCAATGTTCCATTCTGGGGTTAAATCTCCGGTTGCTGGCCAAGACACGGGGTGTTCCCAATCTGTCCTGTCAGCTACTTAGTGACCAACAGCTGCAGGCTCATTTAAGAACTGAATTCAGCCAATAGTTGGGCTGCCAGTGTTCGGAGCTCCAGCCATTTGTGAAATTGCATGTGATCTGTAGTTAACGATTCTCCCCACACTGACCCCTACTCTTCTTCCCTGGCCTCTGATAGGAGCAGCAACATTAGCTGTCCATTTCCTCCCAAACACGCACAGGAAGTGGGGCGACTCACCATGACAAAGCCAGTCATGGCCTCTTTTCCGCAGAACGTGGCCAAAACAGAAAGAAGGGCTAGTGGGGAGCATACAATTCTGTTTCTCGTCTTTAGAAGGCTTGGGTCTGTTTTCTCTCAGGTTTTGTTTCAAGGGCTAATTCATTAATTACCATGTACGTTAAGAATCAGTAAATTACCACAAGCCTCAGAACTGGAAAGGAGCTGAGAGAGATGCTATCCAGCCTCCCACTCAGCACAGAAAGTCCTCTCCACAGCATGCTGGAGAGACCGTCATTTAGTTCTGCTTGTATACTTTCAGCCACAAGGACTTCTGCATTTTCCACAGTGCTAACTGTTAAAATCACCTTCCCCATGCTGAGTCAAAAATTCCATCCTTTCTTTAAATGTCTGTCTGTCCTCTGGGGCAACACAGAATCAATCTGCATTCTCTTCCACATGGCAGTCCTTCCAACAGTTCAGGATGATGACCGCATTTCTCCAAAGCTTTCTTAAAATAGAACAACTCCGGCTCCTTTAGCTAGCTAGCCCCAACAAGCTCTGCTCTCAAGTCTCTTGAATTATACCAATCACTACTAACCTTGGAATACTCTCTCCAGTCTGTGAATGTCCTTCATGAAATGTTGGATCAGAAGTGGACACTAGTTTGGATGTGGTCTGAGAGTGGAAGCCACAAGGCACGGACCACCCTCCAAGAGGCTGTGTAAACAGAGCTGGGGTTTCTTTCTGTGTGTTTCTCACCGATGCTGCCCCATCAGTTCCTACTAAGACCCCCATGATTTCTTCATTCGAACTGCTATCAAGCCATGTCTCCTTCATTCTGTACCTGAACAATTAACGTCTTTCCACACTTTCCAGATTGGCAAGGATGAAAAGTATGCAGTGTTGGTGTGGTGAAGTCTCTCTCTCATTAGAGAGAGACTAGTCCCCCTCTCATTAGAGAGATACTAGTCCCCCGTTAGGGGGTCCATAAATATCTGCCAAATTGCTGAATGGATGAATAAACAAATGAGTAAATATTTGCTGAATCACTGAATGGAGGGATGGATGAATGAAGCACATGCAGAAAATCTTACACATGCAGTATCACTACGACACACTTATTGGAACCCGAACACGCTGTCGATAGGAGTGAAAACTGGTAATTACCCTTCTGCAAAGTGCCTGAGCTACAGGGACCAGGTTTTAAATATGTATACCCTTTTATCTCACTAATTCCACTTCTAGAAACTTGTCTTAAAAAATAATAATTGGACAAATGTGTCAAGATTTATGTACAAGGATTGATATATCATCATTCACAGACAGATACAGAGCAAAAACACTAACCACAGAGAATCTGCAACCAGCTGGTCTTAATATTTTCCATTGGTCACCCTGCTTTCCCTCTTGGATCTCCTACTGTCCACTCTCCACACAGCAGGTAGAGTGAGCTTCTCAAACATGGATCAAATCACACCACTCCTGCTTAAAAAACCTCTGACGGTCCAGTTCTTAGAAGCAAGTCTGGCCACAGCCTATTTCTCTGACCTCATTTGTTAGCACCCTGCCCCAAACCTACAGCCTTCAGACACACGAGCTCTCTCTGGCTTCCTCAAACACATAGGGCTGGTGGCTGCAGCCCCTTCTGCCTGGGCTGCGGAGCCCGACGTTGGGCGGGCTGGCTCCGGCCATCAGGTTTCTCATCAGGCACCCCATTCCACGTAGGCAGGCGCGCCCGAGCTTACTTGCCCGGTTTTATTGGGTTGTCGGAAAAGTCATGACGTATTTTTTCCTCTGTTTTCCGTTACACAAATGCGTCATGACTTTTTCGACAACCCAATACTTTCTTCACAGCGCACAGCAGTAACTGCGAATATCATGTATTTACTTGTTGGACTGTCTCCTCAGCCTCAATTGAAAATAAGTCCCATTACAGCAAGAACCTTGTCTCTCTCACTCTCTGTACCAGCCCCTGGGGGCACAAAGCAGGTGGTCAACAAATATCTGCCAAATCGCCTAATGGATGAATCAATGAATGAATAAGCATTTGTTCAATCACTGAATGGAGGGATGGGCGGAGGGATGAAGTATATGCAGCAAACCCGTTCTATCTGCAGTATCACTACAATGTATGTCCTCAGTTTCCAACACAACCTATAATTTACTAGGATTTAATGTTGGCAAACTTGATGAGACTGTACAGTAAACAGTGCCACACTGAAGTGAC